GGGAAGGAAGAAATCTAGGCATTCTGATCAAGCCAGAGGCCTGACCACTGTGGCTGCAAACTCACTAAAAGGGAAAGCTCCCAACTCACTGAACAAGCAAATAATAAACGAGTTTTGAAAATAATTAAAATTGAAAATTGATTGTCTGGGCCAGAGCAGATTTATGCAACGGGCCCCTGCTCCGCCGGGAGTGGAGGGAGAGCTTCTAAGCTCTATGTTGAACAAGCTAAGCATTTTTTCAGATTATTCCCAGCATAATATGCCAAAGGGAATAGGCTCCATTTATTATTTCCTTAAAAAAATCAATGAGCTGAAACATTCCCTCTAGACCTATAATATTTATTTCAATGTTCTGTCAATAAATATAACAAGGTTAGCTTTCTATCAGGTTAGTTGGAAGAATCATTTGAGGGAACTTCTATTTGTTAAGCTCGATTACAGAAAGCAATCAATAAGGGAAAATTCCCTGGTCACTATAGGCAAGAAATATAGAACTCAGAGGAACCATCCCAGAGAGGAGATTAATGCTGCTGTCCCCAGTCACTCCCTCCTTTCCCCCAAAGGTGGGAAATGTGGGTGCAGCATTGAGTTACAGAGTGTCAAGCCAGAGCAGTCCACACACGGTAAAACTGAGAAGCAGAGAGTGAGGGATCACTCAGGAAGAGACAGAAAATAGAGCCAGGTATCCCAGGACACACTTGCAATCCCAACACTGAGGCTGCAGTGAATTCAGAAACAGCTGGGTAAGACCCTGTCACAAAAAACAAACAAACAAACAAACAAGAAGAACTAAAAATCTTAGTTATCAGCTTTCATCCAAGTCTTGAGTCAGGCTGGAGGCTGGGATGGGGTTCCACGCATATGGAATGCTTTTGCATCTCGTACCTGAGTTCACTTTCATTACATTGGACTTTCTAAAAGACTGGTATAGTAGAATGGCGGGAGAAAGGGTGCCTTTTGTGAGTAGGAGATTCCTGGGTGCTTAAAGAGTTCACCCGTTGATCCTCACCCTCCAACACACACACACACACACACACGGGAGGTACAGACAGAGTTGTGGCTAAGACGATGGAATGTCCTCTTCCCCTAGAATCTCCTGGCTTTGGACTAGATAACTCAACTATCCCTAAGTCTTCCATGACATGAGCCATGGGAAATAGAAGGTTTGGGGTCACAAAATGGACCCCTTGATTCACCTCCCCCCATTTACATAGCTAGGTAGAGTTTTTTCCACCTCGCCAAACTCCTTCCTCCTCTTGGTAGAATGAGAAAAATCTTGACACCTTACTTGTGGAATACACACAGTGCAAAGAAAGCATGAGACCACTAGAAAGATGAAATAGCTATTAGTATTATTGGCTGAATTACTATTATTACCCGCACTTATTGAATGCATTCTATATGCCGATCATTGAACTAAGCATGTTCCATGCCTTATCAATTCAATTCTCACTACGACTCACTGAGACAGATGGCATAAATATCCATCTAACAGATGTGAAAGATAAAGCTTGGGCAAATGATGAAACTGACCTAGAAGTCCATAAACAGATGATTAAAGAAAATAAGGCCTTTAATCCCAGCACTCAGGAAGCAGAGGCAGGCAGATATTTGTGAGTTCAAGGCCAGCCTGGGCTACTGAGCAAGTTTCAGGACAGGCTCTAAAGTTACACAGAGAAACTCTGTCTCAAAAGAAGAGAGAAAGAAAAAAAAAGAAAAGATGAAATATATACACAGTGTAATATTATGTAGCCACAAAGAAAATCAAAAGTATGTTATCTGAAGGGAAGTAGGAAGAACTGGAGATCGTCATGTTAAATGAAAGAAGTCAGGTGCAGAAAGAAAACTATTACATTTTCCTCTAATATGCAGAATCTAGACTTTTTTTAAAGAATTGAAAGCAGGGGGGGAGCTATTTGAGAAGAGGAAAGAGACCAGCAGAAAAGAGAAGGAGGAACAGAAGAAGGGGTTAAAGTAGGGTAAATAAAATCAAAATGACAACCAAAAACAAAAAAAAAAACAAAAAAAAGAAAGAAACTAACTTTTAAAAAGAAAGAAAAAATTAGGCTTGAAGATTTTTTTAAATGCCCAAAGTCACAAAGTCAAAGACAGCAAAGATTTAAATTCAAATCATTTCCCTCTAAACCCTGTACTCATAACCTGGGCAATCAGGAAGATTCTGTAATCATCCTAACCTAAAAGGAGTGTCCTTCATCATCCATACCCAGCCATCCAATCACTACCAATCACCTCCTGACCCATACAAAATAGGGTTCAGTTGGTAAAGTGCAGGTTACACTAGCATGAAGACCTGTGTTTGGTCCTACAGCCCACATAAGAGTTGGATGTGGTGGCATGTGCCTGTGATTTCAACTTTAAGGCAGTGAAGATAGGGGGTTCCCAGGCCAATCTAGTCAAATTGGTAAGCTCCTGGTTCAGTGAGAAACTATCCCAAAAATAACATGGAGAACATCTGAAAAAGACATCTAAATTAGATGTCAAACGCTGGCCTATGCACACACACACACACACACACACACACACACACACACACACACACACACAAAGATGGGTCCCAGCAGGCTTCTGGGCCTTTATCTCTCACCTCTGAGACAAATGCCTTGAATATTTAAAAGAAGCTTCAATGAGGAAAGAGCCTTTTGAAGACTCTCCAAAGGCATGCTTTGTCAGTAAGTGGTCTTGAACTTTAACTATCTTAATTCTCTACATGGAGACTAAATTATTCTACACAGAAAACCAGCACTTAGGATGGATATTGCTGGAAAATAAATAGTTGAACAATTATTTATTGAGTTCCTACTGTAATGGGCATTTTTTAAATATTTAAAAAAATAAACACATTTAACAGCATGATTAACAGACTCCTAAGTGTCCCTGAGTATATCTACATCTTACGTAGCCCAGCATACATTTACTGAGTCTCTACTAAGCTCAGGGGAATAGGTATCAGGCCCAGGTCATTCTGAAATACCACTGGCACAGCCTTTAGTGCTTATTACATTTTTAATGGCTATATTAGTTGATTTCCTCGTCACTCTAACCAAAAGCTGACAAAAAGCAACTTAAGGGAGAAAGAATGTGTCTTGGTTCATGGTTGGAGGTGACAGTCTATCCTGGTGGGGATGAACAGCAGTAGGAGCAGCTGAAGGTGGTGGCGGCAAAAGTGTGGGGCTGTCTGTCCACATCTCTGCAGACCAGGAAACAGAACTGGTACAGGAAGTGGGGGCAGGCTATAGATTCGAATGTAGCGCTTTGGAGATATCCCTCCAGCTAGTGCCCAAATCCCAAAGGTTCTGCACAACAGCACTAAGAACTATAGACCAAATATTCAACAAATGAGCCTGTGGGGGAACATCTCACAATTCAAATTCTTAGGAAACAAGGTTCTAAAGCAGTGGGCTGCAAGCCCCTTGAGGTTTGCATATCATATATTTACATTATGATTCATAACAGTAACAAAATTAGTTATGAAGTAACAATGAAATAACTTTATGGTTGGGGTCACGACAACATGTGGAACTATGTTAAAGGGTCACAGTATTAGGAAGGCTGAGAACCACTGCTCTGAAGAATGTGTCTCAGCATCAAGCAACATCCAATAGAGATATGAAGCAATAGACATAACAATCCAGATGATTTCGGTCTAACCAGTCCCTGAATACAAAAAACAGTCCCATTATCCTGGACCTCCAGCTGACTGGTGGGAAGAATTGCCATCTTAAAGAGTTCTCTGCCATCCCACTCCCAAGCACCTCTCCTCCTGAGTAAATCTGGACATTTTAGGTTGCCACATGATTCCTGCAAGTCAGTGTGACCGCTGCTCGGCACAATGGCCATCAACCAAACACCACAGTGTCAGGGTTTTGCGGAAGTGCAACTTTGAGTGTCGCAAACAGAACTAGAATTCTCTTGCTCTGCTAAAGAGGATAGCTCTCTCTGTTATCTAGAGAGGCCCCACACCCGGGCTTCAGAGTAGTTTCAATGCTCTTTGAGTCACATATACATGTATGTGTGTATTATATATATATATATATATATAAGTGTGTGTGTGTTTGTGTGTTTGTGTGCATACATATATACATACATACACACATACATACATACATATCTTCTCCAAGAAAAAAGCTATCAACATGGAGTCTAAGCAGAGTTTGCTCTGGAGCCAGTGACTGGTCTTGCATGGGACAATGACTGCAAGCGCAACAGCAATCCTGAGCAAAGAGATCTAAGTGGAAAAAAGAGAGCTCTTGTCTCTCTGACTCTGTTCCCCCAAAATCTCCATCTGCCTCTCCCTCCATTTCTACTGCTAGCAGCACACAGGTCCAACTCATAACCATCTCCTATCTTGTTATTATAATTACCTTCTCCATCAACTTCCTCATTCCACCTGAGCCCCACTAGTCTACTCTTCACCCAGGCACAGGACCACCTGTTAATATCTACTCCTGTAGCACATGAGTCCAAAGTGAATTCTGTTGCCGGAGGACAAAATTCACAATCCTACTGCCTTACTCTGCTCTGACCCTGAGACGTGTACTCTGTCCAATACAAGAGCCAGTCTCAGAGAAGCACATGTAATGTGTGGTCTGCAAAGCTTCACAGGGAAGGTAGAAGAGTACGACACGTCTTTTTCTTTGTCCTATCATGCAGTAGCATACCTGGATCCTCTCTTCATACATTGGCTACTAGCACAAACAACCCAAAACAACCATGTACATGTCTTGGAGGTTCAATGGAATCCTTATTGTTTCTCCTGGTGGAAGGGTCCAGCCTCTTGGAACTGGGACCTCTAATGCCACAAAAACTTAAGATTTAAGGCAGGAAGCAATAGTTCCCCAGTTTGGTCCCTGATGGTGAGAGAACCCAAAACCCCTTTCAGCCCTTGGCTTCCTGGTCCATGTATTCTGTCCCTTATGACACGACACTATTTACAGGCAGGTAGTGGTCTAGATTACGCTAATTAAAATGGGAGGACCTACCTTCAATGTAGGTGGTTCCGTACCATGGAGGGGGAACCTGCACTGAATAAAAGAAGAAAGCTGAGCATAGTGTTCATTCCTCTCTGCTTCCTGATTGTGAATGCGCTGTGACCTCACACATCCTTGGACACATCATGACTGACTCACAGCCTCATACTCCTGCCATGCCTTCCCTACCATGAGGAACTCAGCCAAAATTCACCTCCCTTAAGTTGCTTCAGTCAGGGCTTTTGTCACAGTGACGAGAAAAGGAAGTAAAATACCCATAGGGTCATCTATACCCCTTACCCCCCCATGCCCTTACTCTGATCACTCCATCTTATTTTTCCCAGCCTCCTGACCAATGAATGAGCAAAGAAATTCCCCACTGACTACAGTCTTTGTAGAAACTCATCTCTGACTATTTCTTCCTTCCATAAAAAATTGACAACCAAGCCATACAGCTTAAAGCACTTCCTCGTGAAAAACTTCAACACTTAGTCTTTAGGGCCCACTAATGTACTGAACGGACCCATCCATGAACTAACTCAGGGGTTTCCTTCCATCCTATGCCATGGGACTCTCCTGACAAGGGGATATATTTGAACTGAGCAGAAGGTATTGGCTCAACCAAGTTGGATGACTCAGCCTCTTGGACCTGTTTGTTCTTAAGCTTCAGAGTCTGTTCAGCTCTCAGCCTAGTATACTGTTCCCACCACAACAGATTGCCTCCTCCGTCAAGGACTTAGATGTGCTAATACCTAGCTCAAAGTGGGAATCTCTGGCCATAAAGTCACTTGGTCATCGTTGGTCTGCGGCTCAGTCTTTGCTAGAGTTCAGTAATACTCCAGGAACTGGTTTGAAAGCATCGGGTAGTTCTTTGCTATAGTGGGCATAACCTTCTTCTAAAACTCCAGGTGTTTTCTCTTTGAGTCTCCTAATGGAGGTGGCCAGAGTTCACTAGAGACACCTCCAACACTACTGAACTTACCATGTCACATGACTTGAGAAGACAAGGATGCTATACTGCACCATAGTTCAAACTTGCACCTCTATTCTCTTTTCACCTAGACCCACTCAAAACTCGCAACATCCTGGGCTATTATTTATTCAACAAATTGGTTAGAACACTATTATTCCCAAATGAGAATCTATTGCCTCAAAAATCCCAAAAGGACCTACCGAGCACTACGCTTCCATGGTTGGAAATTCAATTGGCAAGAAACGAAGAGTGCCATCAATGTGCTGGTCCCTGGATCTTACTGGGTTTATTTCCTACCTCTTGATATGAGTATCTCTTACGAGGGCATCCAAGTACTTGCCACTTCCTGTTCATTGGGCTTGAGGAGAATGATGCCATCCGTATAGTGGACCAGCATGGTGGATCTGGAATGTCAAGATAATCAAAGACCCTTTAGACTGTAATGTAACAGGAGAAAATCAACATAGCCCTGAGGCAAGACAGTGAATATATATTGCTGTCTTTCCCATGTGAATACAAACTGCTTCTAATCCTTTTTCCTGATGTGAACTGAAAAGATCAAACGCTGCATATCAAGTGCTGGAGGCAACAGTGATCTACTCGAGTGAAGACACCAAATCCAGCATAGAGCAGCTTCCAGTGGGAGATGCCATTTTTCCCCACAGTTCATGTGCTGGCTAGTTTTTTGACAACTTGACACACACACATGCACATATGAAAATGAAAATCGACAGCAAAGATTCATATTGCTAGGGTACAGTTCTGGGTCTAGTGACACACGCCTGTGACCCCAGCACTAGGGAGGTGCAGGCAGAAGGATTAGAAATGCAAGGTTATCCTTAGTTACAAAGTGAGTTCAAGGGCCACCTGGGCTACATGAAAGAAAGTTGATCTGGAAGGAAGGAGGGAGGGAGGAAGGGTGGGTGACATGTTACCCAAAGTTGCAATCAGGCATTTGTAATCACAACGGCAGAGGCTGGGGGATTGTGAGTTCAAACTAGCCTGGATTACATCGTGAGACCCTGTCAAAAAATAAATAAATAAAGTGAACCAGGCAGGACAGAAACTTCCATCTTCAATAAAGGAATGAAAAGAGGGAGGGAACCATACATTTAAAATAAGTGCATCGTGAAATGGAGAGAAAGAACTCATTATGGAAGCAAGAACTAAACTTTTCTTCAGCTAAACAGAATGTTCAAATTTATCTGCTACCGCAATTTAGCTATTAACTACTCTAGTCACTCCTGCGTCTAAGGATCTGGAACAGATTGATCCAAGCATCCAGAATGAGGAAAACAATGTCGTCAACCCTACCTCACACCTCTTCTTTTTCTAATGTAGTATGAACCTGCCCCCAGAACAACTGGAAGTAGAAGTGTCCATCCTTTCTAAAAGTCTCACCCCTCTCACAGACCAGTGGACAGACACTAAAGTCCCAAGGGCCAGCAGTCTGATGTTAATATCCTTCCTCAAGTCTGAGTCTTCCTATAGTCCTCACTGGTCCCACAGGTGGGCTAGGCTGCACCAGCCCAGTTACTTTCCCATCACCCAAGCTTACTGTATCCCAAGACTTTCTATTGTAGGAGGAGGGGAAAAAAGAGAAGGGGGGGCTGTTTGTAACTACACTCTTGTGGTCTGTCTACCCAACGAAGTCCCCACCCTGGAGACTTCGGGTGATATCTAGCTTGTCAATGCACAAGCCAGAGTTCTATGGGGTCTAAGAAAGAACCCTCCCCTAGAACCTGGGCAACAGCCTGTAGTATTATCTATTCTCTAGGACAATGGTTCTCAACTTCCCTAATGCTGTGACCCTTTAATACAGTTCCTCATGTTGTGGTGACCCCAAATATATTATTCATTGCTACTTTATAACTGCCACTTTGCTACTGTTGTGAATCATAATGTGACTATCTGATATGCAGGTCATTTGACCCCAAGAGGTGGAGACTCACAAGTTGAGAACCATTGCTCTAGGTCTTGGTTTTTGCATCTGGGGAAAATTCCTTGTTTCTCAGGCCTCGGGAGCTCAGAACCAAAAACTGCAGCAAACCACAGCCTGAACCATGCAGAGTGGAGGGCTGTCGCTGACATCAGAGCTGCAGCCACAGTCGCGGCTGCTGTGCTGCTTTCAACACTGTCCCATCGTGCCGTGTGGCATGGCAGCTAGGCAGTCCCAGCCCTGCTCTCCTAGAGCTCACATTCTAGTGGGAGAAACAAGTGCTCACCAGATAATCAAACAAATGAGTGCATGATTACAAACTGGCATAAATATTCCGAGGAAACGCGACACATTCTAGGAGAGCAAATAAAGAATGAGCTGGCTTGGAGGCACCTCTGAAGGCATAACATTTGAACTGACATCTGAAGCATGAGTAGGAGTTAGCCAAGCACAAAAGGGGAGGGTGGAGAAGGCACAGTCCCAGCAGATGGTAGAGCAGGTGCCGGGGGTTCTGCAGCGTTGGGGGAGAGTGACAGGAAAATGTTGATGAAGGTAAAAGGTCAGCACAGACCACTGGGACCGAAGGGAGCCTGCAAGGAGGCGCATGAGGCTGGAGAGGCAGGCAAGGTCAGGCTCTGTGGTCTTAGAAACACTAAAGATGCTGGTCCTCCCTGTTAGAGCCGAGAGAGGCAGGTAAAGGGACTTGCACAAGGGGTGCTGTGTGACCAGACAGGTGTCTGGAGTGGCTCGCTTTGTTGGCGGTGCAGACAATGGACTGGAAGGAGCAAGAAGAGAAACAGGAATGAGTTAGGAGCCCTCCCTGGGAGTCCAGGAAAAGGATGATGGCGGCTTAGGCTGTGGGTGTAAAATCAACAGGACTTGGGTGACGGGTGGATAATGGGCTAAGAGCAGCTGCTACTGGCATCTTGTGCTCTCAGCATCTCATAAAAATTGCAAGGTTCTTTTGGTTTTGAACAATGGAATCTCATCTTACACGGGGCCAGATTTGGAAGTGCATGAGACAAGAATTGCATGAAGTCAAAAGTGCCCTTGGAAAACTCTGAAGCCACTCGCAAAGTACAGTATCCGTGAGTTTGTTTATACAGCCATGAACAGAAATTTTTAGGCACACTAAAGTTAGAGAGCCGCTGAACTAGAATAAAGAAAGCAACAGAAGGAAAGCCCATATGCAAATCTCTGGGCATTCAAATCACTTGCCTTTAAGACAAGGACTCAAATCCCTAGGAGTGAATGAGGAGATTGGGGGGGGGGGTCCAAACAGGAGATGTGGCAAAAATTTTCTTAAAGTCCCGCTTTGCTGAAATGTACCCTCTTGGTTTGAACACTGAGTCCTTGTAAACTGTAGTTACCTACTAGTGTACTAATTGCTTACTGAGTGTGGCCTGGGTGTAGGACCCCAACCCCAACACCTACTCCTTCCTCACCTCTATCTCACTCCAGGTCTCTGCTCAGATAGCTCAGCCTGGATCTGCTAGGATCCCTCTATCAGCCAGAAAGTCAAGGTCAAAGGGCTTTAACAAAAACCCTTCTAGAATTCAGTAGCTGAGATTGTGTACCTGTGCCACCTGCTCATCATGAGTTGGTGAGGCTCGGCCCCTTGTTTCCTCATCTGACTGATGAAACAGACTCCATCCCGCATTTGGCCAGCACTGGGGCAGAAGGAAGAGCTCTACAGGCTTCACAAAGCGATTAAAAGCCCTCGTGAGGCATCAGTGCAGCTCATTGGCCAGAATTCATCACAAGGCTTCACCCAACCACAAGAGGGCCAAGAAGTGCAATCCTTCCATGTGTTCAGCAGGTGCACAGCCAGAAATATTTGACAAACAACACTAATGACTTCCACATGCTCTAAATGTACAATGACAAGAGAGAGAAGAGACAAGTCTTAACTATTAAGTATGTGTTTGGATCCAGGACCCTGTGTAACCATGTGGCTGAATTAAATTTGCCCGTTCACACCCCAGGGGGCAGAGCCCATGCCCAGAAAGACTCCCAAGCAGCATTTGGATGCTGTCTTGGAATTAGAGGGAGGATCCATCAAAGGCTGATGACAGCCTCAGCTTGTCAGCACTGCCTCTACTCTCTCAGCCCACGATTCTGACATGAGAAACAGTGGAACCAGAACTCTGTCACCAAGGATCTCAGACAGTCCCTGGAAGCTATTGGGCTGGAGACAATGGGCGTACAGGAACCCTGGCTCTCCAGGAGCTCCCAGCAGGATGCTGTGGGAGTCAGTATCCAAGGGTCAGCTCCTCCCTCTTACCCTGGACATCATGATGCTCTGCCCTCACAAAGAAACCTGGTCCCCTCTTTTGCAATCATGCCTATCGCCATGCTTTCATGAGTAATATGTGGCAGGAGTGAAAACCAAGCCTTAAAATGGCAGTCGCTTCCGCTTCCTCCTTCTGAGAATCCAGCGACTACAGGGTAAGAAAGGTAAGTGATTAGACACCATGTGGATGGACGCCCTGGAGAGGAAAGAAACATCTGGGACATTCCACCTTCAAAGGGGCTCCCAGCTGAGGGCAGTCACAACGGATAACTGCAGAACTGCCCAGAAGAGGCCAACCGACTCATAAAATATAGAGAAAAACTTCAATCATTTTAAGTCACGATTTTAAAGGCCTAGTTTGTTATGCAGCCACAGGAAACTGAAAAAAAAAACCACTCACTAGATGATGCCTATGTTCTGAGGAGGCCCAGAGAAAGAAAATCTAAGAACACATTAAACGGTGTTCTAGATTGAGCTCTCTGGAACAGCCTTTGAAGCAGAGGTTTTAAAGAATGAGTTTTATTGGGTAGGAGACACTCTCTGGAGACACCTATAAGAAAAGGAAGAAGCTGGAAGCAAAGTTCAGCAAGTGTTGAGTAGTGATTACTAGATGGCAAGGGTGGGGAGGAGACGGGCAGGAGGGGCTAGGGTACCAATTGCAATTAGACAGAAGTAATGCATCCTAATGGTCTATAGCACAATCTGGGGAGTTCATTGTAACATGTTTTAGCTAGAAGAGAAGCTCTCAAAAGCTACAAACATTATTGAAATGATAGACATGGAAATGTTAACTGCCCTGGTTTGATCAATACACAGCATGCCCATGTGTTCAAATATTATCATGCTGTACCCTAGAAACATGGGCAACTAGTGAATGTCAATTAAAATTATTTTTACTGAGAAATTTAGAATTGCACTTGCACCTGTGGGTTAGTTTTTGTCAATTGAAGATTTGTCTCCATCGGATTGGCCTGTGGGGCATTTTCTTGAGTGCTACTTTCTATAGAAGGACCCGATCCACGGTAGAAGGTACATCTCCAGGCAGGTGGGCCTGGGCTATAGAAAGGTGGCTGACCATGGATCTGAGAGCAAGTCAGTGAGCAGCCTTCCTCCATGGGGTCTGCCTCAGGTCCCTGTTCAGGTTCCTGCCTTGAGTTCCTACTGACTTTCCTCCATGATGAACTGTCACTTGGAAGTATAAGATGAAACAAACCCTTTTGTCCCCAAGTTGCTTTTGGCCACAGTATTTCTTCACAGCAACAGAAAAGCCCCTAGAGCTGCACCTAAGGTGCCACTGACCTTTGAATACTTAGTAGTCACGAAGGGAAGAGTTGTTCTAAGCTGAGGCAAGGAGGCTGGTCCTCGAGTCCCCTCATCAGTCAGCGTTATCTGTGGGTTGCTCCAGAGAGACCATCACTTGAGTGAAGGTATCTGCCTGTTGTTCCACAGTCCCCATGGAGGGATGAGGCTGGGCACACCCAGCAACCCACATTCTCGGCAGCTGAAGAGAAAGGTAGTGACGTGGAGAGGAAGGCAGGTACTAGAACGCATCCCGTACTGGAGGTGAGCCCTCGGCACTTGAACCGAACTAGAAAGACTCGCTGCGAAGGGAGGAGAGAGAGAGAGAGCTTCCAGGCAAAGGAAACAGCAAGAGCAAAGAAAGGCTCCAGTGTGAGAACAAGCAAAGCCGGTGCCAGCAGAACACACGGAAACCGAGATAAGGCAACAGCAAGCAGAGAAATGTGGGTTTCCCCTGAGGCAACAGGGACTACTGAAGAGTTCTAAGCAAGGCAGAGACTGGTGAGCCATCTGTTTTAAAAGATTCCTCTGACAGGAAGGTGGAAGGTGGACCAGCAAGGGAAGACCAGCAGCCGAGGGCCTGGCACTGATACAAGAGGAAAGTTAGCTCCCTGCTCCTGCCGCGGCCACTGCCTGAGCCCTGCATCTCTTCTTCCTGGGCCCCAGGTTATACTGCAGCCTCATTCATGCTATGGGCCTGGCGGCTGGCTGTGTTGCAGTTGCTACATGGTGCAGCTGAATGGGAGCTTGAAAAGCTCTTGGGTCATCCTCAACCACAGGAAAACTATAGCCTTTAGTAGGAAGGCAAAGGTCACCAGCTGGAGTGTCAAGGTAGTCAAGGGATCAATCCAAATGTCTTTTTCCTATATCAGGACCCCCCAACCACACCTTGACTAATGAAAACACAGCCGACTTTCTATGTTGAGAATTCTGTTTCCTTTGGAAATTCTCGACCCTGATCCTGGGTTATAATCTGTTTTTCTACCCTCCAGCTGTAGGGAAAAATTCTCTTTTTCTGATGGCCAGGAAGCCCTCCCATTCTCACAGTTCACTATAAAATTAGCAATGAGGAGCTAGAAAGATGGTTCATCAGTTAAGAGCACTTGTTGCCCTTCCAAGGGACCTGGGTTCGACTCCCAGCACTGACATGGTGACTCACAATGGTCTGCAACTCCAGTCCTAGAGAATCCAACACTCTCTTCTGGCCTCCGTGGGCTCTTATACATGTGGTGCACAGACATAAACACAGGCGAAATAGACATGCGCATAAAAAGAACTTAGTTTTTAATTTTAAAAATAGTGACGAATCCTTTCACCCCTCCATTGTCTTTACCCCTGGCCACAACCATCTGATTCTACAGACTTTATAATCACTACCTCCTCTGAGTAACTCAAGCATAAGAGAGGCTACCTACCAGCACATCCCTCCCCCCAGTATCCCATCCTCCTTCACCACTGCTTGAAGTTTTAACAATTGCACTGCTACAGCCAGTCAAGGGCCATTAGAACCTCCACCCACCACCAGAGACGGGCTCTCGTTACCAACAGGCCGATGGATAATCCAGCTCGAGATTCCCATTTTAGAGTCTGTTTCCTAGGAACCACTCCCAGCACCAACTGTAGTAGTAGGTCAGGTTCCCTAGAAATAGATCAAAGACGGAAGATTTGCATGCAGAGGACTTACTGGAGAGCACGAGCAGGAACATTAGCAAAAAAGCAAGAAAGCTGGACTGGGCAGTGTGAGCCCTTGAACTCCGTGCATGTGCGTCACAGATGGCAACAACTTGGAAAGTTCTAGAGCAGGGATGGCACTTTAGAGATGTACCAAAACAACCAGTCAGTGCACTGAAACTGCCTCCAGGAAGGAGCACGAACTCTAGGAGAGGCAAATCCATTTATCAGAAGGCAATTCTGGGAGAGCGACCACTGAAGGCTATGCTATGGGCCACCAATGCTGTCCCTGGGAACTAACCCACAGCATCCTCCACAACCCATTTAGGGAACTCAAGATGGAGAAGGGTGGTTGGTATTGCTCCTGAGGGCAACTCCATCTCTACTGGGTTTGGCCACAAGAAAGTCACAAGAAACTATGGGCATGGGGGGGGGGCTCATTCAACGATGCAATGGGAGGAATTTCATGCAAGACGTAAAGAAGGAGAAGCAGGAGGTGAGATGACTCTCTTGGCCATTCCATTCTTCACTCATGGATGACTGCTGGAGTAAAATGAGTGCCTAAGGTAAATTGTCTTTCAGAAGTACAGCTTTGCCAGGCATGGTGGCACACACGTCTAATGCTAGCACTCAGGAGGCAGAAGCACGCAGATCTCTGTGAGTTCAAAGCCACCCTGGTCTATGTAACGAGTTCTAGACCAGCCAGGGTGACATAGTGAGACGGTGTCTCAAAACAAAGAAAGTACACGGCTTTGAACATAGCTTGTCTTTGCATTTTCCTGTATGCAATAAAATATACAGACACATGTACACACACAGGTGTACACCAAGTTTTCCCAAAGCAAGAACTCCGCCAGAGGCTGGTAAGCAGATCTCTGTCCTCCTTAGCCAAAAACTAATGGCTGCAGATTCTACATCTGAATACCACACTTCCCTGTAACCTGTTGCCTTCAAGTATGCTAGCTGGAGTCTCAGCTCCGATCAGAACCCAGGAAGCAAGGGCAAGCTCACCAACAGCTACTAACAGTTACTGAGCACCAGCTAACTGTGTTCACAAGTTTGTACATCCCTCCTCTCTGATCCCTCTGAGACCAGTGCCTTTGTATACCCATTTCACAGAGGGAGAAGTAAAGGCTTCAAGAAGCTAGACCATTTTGTCTATGATTTATACAACTGGTTGGTGTCAGAACTGGGGCTGAGAGTCCAGTTAAGGTGGTGACAGAAACAAATAAGAGACACTGGGAATTGAAGTGGTTCATTCACTCCTTCGGGAAACATTTATGGAGGGTCTACTGTTCTAAGCTCTTGAGAAACCTCATGCAGTTGTAGCCACAGCCTTTCTCTCATGTAACGCCCTGTACAGTGAGAGAGATGGATAAATAATGAATATAACACATCAACACTCATCCGTTCGTACAGACTTAAGTGGTGGCCCCGGTTCCCCACTTCAGAACTGAGACTCCTCCCTGGTCACAAGGAATGCTGATGGCTGTAGCATTCAGCAGAGACTTTATGCAAAACTGCTCAGGAAAGGCAACTGCTCCACCGAAGGCCGCTCACTCCCTGCCCTAGGAGCCCCTACAGCCAATGTCTAGCCAGGAGGGAGTAAAAACTTCCCCATCCCCTAGGCATTAGCCTAGCCACTTTGAAAGCCATCCTGGCTCTCAGCTCTCTTGGGATCAGCTACAGTCTTTGCTGTGACTACATCACATGCCAACTTGTCCTCTGCCCAGGGCTGCTTCCTTCATGCCCCACAGGTCTGAGAGCCCTTCCCAGTAAACTTCCTCCCAGGAAAATTCTCTATCACAGTCTTCTTCAGTGCATTCAACCTGCTATGGGAAGGGTATGTTCTAGGGGAAGGGAGGGGGGCAAACAAAAGGAGAAAATCTGCAGAAGAAGGATTGGAAGGGCAGGACCCAAAAAGGCAGCAGGCTGTGAAATCAAAGAAGATATTTAAGGCAACCTCATTAGGTAGTGATATTTGAGCACAGACTTGAAGGTGGATGTAAGAGAGTTACCCAAGTGGAAACCTGGTGGGAAAGCATCCTGGGCAGGGGGAGGAGAGGCCAAGAGAGGTCAGTAATGGGATGGGGTGACACAGAACAGAGCACATAAGAACTGGCAGGCCACTATAAGGTCCTCAGATTTGCGCAGAGGACCTGGTCTGAAATTAGACCTCCCCAGGCTTCCATGTGAGACAAAGGGCAGAAGCCACTGCAGTAACCCAGGTGAGCCCAAGGATGGCGGTGACGGCGGTAAAAGGGGACCAGAGGCATGTTGTAAAGCACGGCCAGTATGTTTGGCCAATGACTGGATGCAGGGAGTGAAGAAAACACAGGAGCCAACAATGACCATGATGCTTTCTTGTCCTGCGATGGAAAGACTTGCCAAGATCTCAGAAAGGGAGACGCCCACCAGGAAAGGTTTAGAAGATCACTGATGGGGACATGTTGTACTTGAGATTCACAGCAGTTAGCACCATAGCACGACCCAGCTCTGGGATGGACAAAGTAGGCTGTTACTCCAATTAGGAATGACAGATGAGGTTTGGGGGCACAGCGGAAGTTGGAAACACTGGAGATTCGATAGCATGGGGGCCTAATTCTATAATCCCATACCGTGGCAAGTCCCACACCAAGTCCATGTGGCCTCCTAACTCTAGGGGAGCAGGCAGACACATAGTAGCTGTAAAAAGTGTCCAACTGTGTGCACATTTGTGAATGAGATGAGAATTCAAAGCTGTGTCCCTATGTGTGGAGGGTGTGTGTGTGTGTGTGTGTGTGTGTGTGTGTGTGTGTGTGTGTCTGTGTGTGTGGTCATCTGTATGGCCAAGAAGAACAGCACCTTGCAATGTGAATAAGGAGACGATGCCAGCCCAGAGCCTGGCACACAATAGCCTCCCGTTGTTATGGAATGTGTAGAGCAAGCAATTAGCTGCATTGGTATTTAGAGCAGCAACATGCCCTCTTGGCTGCCCTGAACCACACAAGTCCTCTTAAAGCCTTGTACAAATGGCTCTAGAACACAAAGGTGCCTGTACCTCCCAAATGCCCGCCTGTTTTCCTGAGCTGCTGTGTCTGGCTGCATGGGGAAACTACTGACACAGCTTGGGAGGGCGGAGAGTTAACTCTCCCTTTGCCATTACACATAATCAGGGAGAAATCTGTGTGAGGCACAGCGCTCCGGCCGGTAAGTGATTCCCCAGAACAACAGATAAAAGCCTGGCACTAAAGTGCAGCCAGAAACGATGTGTAATTGGCATGAAAGAATCTTTGAATCTACACGCTGCTTTTAACTCAGGAGGCTTAAATTACAATTAATAGTTCCCTTGTACAAGGCAGAGGGGGGATAGAGGAATTCCAGGTCCCTGAGCTCAGAGCCCCAGGCTTCATCTTCATCTAAGCTTCAGTGTTTTTTTTTTTGGGGGGGGAGGCTAAATAGTATAGAGGGAGGAGAAAACTGGGAGTGTAGCTTTCCCGGGGTTTCAGGAACCCTGATGGGTTAGATTTCTTACAAGATTCAAATCTGCCGCTCTCTAAAGAAGCCCCTAGGTACTCCTGTACTGCAGAGCCCCTCCCACCACATCCCTGCAATGTTGCTAACAGACAGCCCACTGCCCCCATTTTGCAGATGGGGAGACTAAGGAGACCCCTAGTCCACCTGCTATTTCCCAAACTAGGAAGGGTCTTAGAGCACCCTCCTTCCAGGATTCCTGGAGTAAAAAATTCAGAGACAGACAGGTGTCCTCCTGCTTCCATAACAGACAACCTCGTGAACCCAGCCCCCTGACTCTGTAGCCAGGTCCTTCCTTTATGCACCTAACCAATGAGACAGATTTGGGCCTGGAATGTGGCTCTGTGATAGATCACTTGCCAAACATATCCAAGAGCCTAGGCTCCAGCACCAAATACCACAAAACTAAATTAAAATAAAAAATTATAATAAGAGCAGGGCAGTGGTGTTGCATGCCTTTAATTTCATCACTCAGGAGGCAGAGACAGGAGGATATCTAAGTTTGAGGCCATCCTGGTCTACATAGTGAGTTCCAGGACAGCCAGGGCTACACAGAGAAACCCTGTCTGGAAACCACCTACCCACCCCACCCCCAAAAATGATAATAAGAGTAACCAGTGGACCATGCAGCCCATCCCCCTCACCCCACACTCTTCTCTAAAGGGTTAGTATGCTCCCCTGAGGGAACCTTCGAAATCCTCCTCAGGGCCTGAATCAGTTCCCTCTAGCTTTGCTTGGCTCAGTCTAGGTATCCCCTTCTCCTCCACTTTATGCCCCCCCATCCCTTCTCTCTGTTGGGCAAAGCTATCGGCCCCAAGGCTGTATACAGCTTCGGTGGTGTGGCAGCTAGCGAGGCACAAGCAGGAATCTAAAAGCCAGTTTAGATGTGCTCCAGGAATGAGGGGTCTGGCCCTTAGCAGACACCAACAAAACTGTGAGAAGGGGTCCAGAGAGTGGCCACAACATTCCCAGAGTTTGCTGAGGGGTTCAGACTACTGTGTCAGTGGGAATTCTGAACCTCCCCGCACATGAGCTCATGGGTGCCCAGCCCTGTGCTTCATGGCTTTGGAATGTGTTTTTTAGGCTGGCCTGCCTTCTTTCCCCCATCTTGCCACTGCAAGGTCTGCTGACTGATCTCGGTTCTTCAAAGCCAGGCAAATTCCAGAAAAGACAGAGAGAAAGAGAGAGAGAGAGAGAGAGAGACAGAGAGAGAGAGAGAGAGAGAGAGAGAGAGAGAGAGAGAGAGTCTGTCTGTCTGTCTGTCTGTCTCTGTGTGTCTGTGTGTCTGAGTGTGCTTGTGCATGCACGGTGCATGCATGCAAGCAGTATGCATACCAGCACTCAGGTCTTGCCCAAAAGGCAAAGTCATTGTCTATGTGCATGGCTGAACCTGTGTGCACCTGTCTCTAGATACGAGTGGGCACCGTGTGCATATCTCTGTGTGTTTGTGTATGTAGTGCGTGTATTCTGTGCATGAGTAGTTTTAAAGGAACGCAGTGGGATCCGCTTGGGGCCCTGTGTAGCTGAACCTTATTTATAGCTCTCCTCTGTCTGCTTCGTTTCCTCTAACTTCCCTGCAGAATGATATGAATGAAAATGACACTATTGACTATCTTGGTAACCATAAAAGACCTTATAGAAATAAGATTTTTATAGTTTGTGGACTGGGAGAATCAAAAGACTAAGAGTTATGGACTCGGAGGAGAGGAGCGAATCAAGCCGAGGCGGTCGGAGAGGTCCCTGGGTGGATCGTCTGTGGGTTTTTTAAACAAACTCATATAAATAAAGTGATTGTCTTGAAAGAGTTATGGGAGCCCTGGAGCTGGGCAATATCCCCTCTGCAGAGGCGGAGGGCAGCTTGCTCTCTGCCAGAGAGGAAGCCCTCGTTTTAGTTGAGTTCCTGCTACAGGCCTCCCCAGAGAGGCAGAAGAGGCAGCCACAAGACCCACACTGACCTTTTGTCTCCTGGAGATCTATAGGATTTGACACATTAGGAGTTGAGCTCCCCACCAGCTGTGTGGCCTACACTGGGCACCAAACCCGAGACCTACAAACCTGCCCTTCCAAGCTTAAGCATAAGGGCCCTCCAACCCCAGGAAAGCCCTACATTTCAAAGGCTCCCTGACACCCATCCCCACAGAGACTCCCTCCACCATTTCCCTAGGAAGCTACAGTACAACCCTGTAGACCAGGTAGAAGGCAAGGAAAGATGGGACAGGCTTCCGACCAGCACTGTCCTCTGAAGACCAAGCTAGTTCCACTAATGGGTTTCCAAGAAACAGATGATCTTTCCTGGTGCCTCTCCCAACTCTAGTCTTCTCGTGTCAGTCTCCCCATCCTCCAGCGCCAACCCCGCCCTCTGGGGCAATACTGGGTCCTTCTGCCCTCCCCTATTGGAATAAACAATTCTGAAAACCAGAGAGAAGCCATGTCTTCTGATCCCATTACAAGAAACCTACTAGGTCTCATTCTGACTCCTATCTCCTCTACCTGGGAACCTGAGGGTATCCAGAGAGGGCCAAGGCACGCCCATAGTATGTGTCAATTCCCAGACTCCTCTGAAGGCATCGATTTCTCTCCATCCTGACCTTTGTGGTAAGGTGCCCTGAGTTCCACCCCAGGCCATTATATGGCTGATGGTGTGGAGACATGGAGTCCCAGCCGCCCTCCCTTGCTCTGGGCCTTTCTGATGCACTGGAGAGAGCAGCCTGCATTGTCAGCCAGCCAGAGCTGTCTGAACCAAGGGCAGCTGAGTGGGGCTCGATTCACACCGCTCTCCAACACTGCAGCAAGGAGGGTTTATGGCTCTTGATTACACCCAGCAGGGAGGCCTTCTTAGTGATGAGAGAGAAATATTCAACAACCTGTCTTTGCAATGTGCTGATCTGTGGGGTGGGGGTGGGGCACAAGAATGATTTATGATTCATGAGTGAGGAGAAGAGGATTTTTCAGTCCAGGGCTCCCCCAAACCACTTCGAGAAAGGAATGACTTCCTTTCTCGTCATTTATTTTCTCATTGGTGTGTGATGTTCCAAGCAAAATCCTCCCTGGGGTCTCTTGCAAGCTGTGGAAGGTCCAGAAGGACACAGGCCAGAGAGGGGAGGGTTCTTCCAGCCCTCACTCCGCTCAGGCTTAGAGCCGAGACAGGACCTGGGCAGCATTGCCTCTCCCCTCTCCCCGCTCTCCGGTTCTTTCCAGCCTTACATTCAAACCCCATCTGCTCTCATCTGGTGCCTAAACATTGTGCCTGGACCACAGTCAGCCCTAGTAAATGAACAAACGGGTGGCTGGAAGGAGGCTGTTTTCTCCTCCTAGATGGGACCCCGGGGTCCCCCATAGTTGTGTCTAATAACTTGCACCAAGTCAGCACCAATGATCCTTTTTGGATAAGTACGTGCTGTATAGTAGGCTGCACACCACATAGAGTGCCCCTCTCTGCCTACGACAGTTGAAGCTCATTGTGATCTGGAATGGTACACTGTGCGCAATGCCCTCCCGCAACAAAAAGGGGTGCTGGGAGACAGAGGACTGTGTTGGAGATGACACTTAATCGGTGAGAAGTTTAAAGCCAGACGGTGGTCACAGAGAGTGTGGAGGGGGAGGGGAGGAAAGGCCTGTCTTCCACAAGAACTCTGAGCTCTTCCCTCCCCAAACAGCAGAAAGAAGTGGGGGCGCTTCTATCTTTTACACCATCTCTCAACTCTCCTCAGTGGCCTAGGTGTGCTCCCACAGCCCAGCAGAGACTTCTGCTGCTCCTTTACTGCCTCAATCTCCCCTCTCGGGGGCAGGGAACAACCCAGAAGGGAAAAAAAAAGCACAATGTCTTTATGTGGACAACAGGATTCCAGTCTTCAAGATGTGTTCTGGCCTCCAATCCTCCGGTGTGAGAAGGAGCCAGAAGCCCACTTGGACAATAAGCGGGAGGAGATCCTGACCTTGCTACTCAGGCAGAGGGCCACCCCCAGCCCTCAACCTCACCAGAGATGCGTGCAACATCTTCAAAGCTGGCAAGCTGGTCTCTGCCAGGGCACAAGGGCATCTATCAAGCCCAGAGGCATGCTGGGTCGGCCACTGTACACTTCCTCCAATAAGGAACCCCTTGCCCTGTTTGCCTGAACCCACAGAGGGCTAGGTTTCTCTTCCTAGTTCTCTCTACTTTCCCCTGGTTCTGCAAGGGAAAAGGGTGGGGGGGGGGCACAGGGACCATACCCGCACCGCGAAACTTTACGCTGTAAAGTTAATCCACTGAAGCGTAGCCCAAAATAAGCGCACTGCCTAATGTGCCGGGAACTGCCGGTCGCAAGGCCAGACTGCAAGCGGATGTCTGCGCATCTCCGCCCGCCCGCCCGCCCGGAGCCTGCATTTAGCGCCAGCGAGGGAGTCTGGGCTGGAGCGCTGCTTTCACACCGACTCGAGCCGCGAGTTTATGGATCTTGATTGCACCCAGCAGGGAATCCTTTTTAGTGATGAGAGAAAAAATATTCAACAACCTGTCTTTGCATTGGGTGTGTTGGACACACTTCCCTGCTTCGGAATCAGACATATGCGGGTTGTGGGAGTAGAGCTGCTGTCAGCAGGCCAGAATGCGCCTCTCCTCCCCTCCTCTCTCTCCTCTCCTCCCTCGTCCCCGGGCAGGGGGCGGGGAGCGAGGAGTTGGTGCGGCCGGTCCCCGGCCACGCAAAAAAGACCCGCGGCACCCCGGCGAGGCAACCACCCGGGTCCTCCTCCTGCGCGGCGCCCGGGCCGCGCGTCCCCGCTCGGGCCTGCGGTGCGGCGGCTGGGCTGGCCTCCGGGGAGCCGGCGCCCGCGTGGGGCCCGCTGACAGCGTGCCCAGTAGAATATTGTATTAGTTGGTTGTGAGCTGTGTTCTCGTCAGGGTATCTGAGTTTCACAGAACAGACGGGGTGAGAGTTTTTGTGCTATATCCAGATTGGCTTAAAATAATGTCGGTTTTGTAGCTTATTAAACCACAGAAACTACACCAAAGTCATCCGCGCTGCTGTCAAAAAACTCTCAAGAGTCGGGGTTGGGGTAAAAGGGAACTCAGGCCAGGATCCTGACCCCTGACCTCTCAGGAAGGCTTTAGCTCACGCTCTCCTCGCTCTATCCAGGGGTAGGACTGCACAGCAGCACTAACCACACTGGCCCAGAAGCCCTGCCGGGACTTCCTCAGAGTGAGGAGGCAAAGGCTGGGATGTGGTGAAAGCCCAGACCCTCACACTGATGCTGAGGTCCACCCCGGCAGAAGGACCCAGGTGGCGCTACCTGGTCAAAGGGGAAAGCTGAGAAATGCAGGTGTGGACCCATCTGGAAAACCCCTGTCTAGAGGCAGGGGTGTTGGTGTTTTGTTTTGTTTTTGTTTATTTGTTTGTTTTGCTGTATTGTCCTGGGATCGCGGGGGAGAGGCGGGGCCTTGGAGATTGGGAAGGGAAGGCCCTGAGATACGAAAGGGTTCATCAGTCCTCCTTCCTGGCCCAGAAAGGCCTCCCCTTCCCTTTCTAACAATTCCCCTAACTCCAAAGATATGACTGCGTCACCTACTGGAAACAAGCAAAGCAACATGCCAGAGCCACTTCTGTCCCCTGCCTGTCTGCAGGGGTCATCATTGCTGGTCCACTTTGCACTGAACAGCACGCCCAGGAAGTGTGTGCTGCAGTGAGCCCTGTCAGCACAGGAAACTAAGGCCCAGAATGTGCAGTGAGTTTTCTAGAGAACACACAGCTAACAAAGTGGCAGTGTGGGGATTTGAACTCTCACTGCAGAATGAGAGTTCTAACTACTGTGTCCTGGAGCTTCTGTGGTATTCGAACATAAAGAATACAGATGCCTCTTTCTGAATTTTTCCTAGTCGACCCAATGGTATAAGCCTATTACCCTAGCATGAGAGAGACTGAAACAGAAAAGTTGCCATGAGTTTGGGGCTAGCCTGAGCTACATGATGAGTTCCAGTCAGTCTAGGCTACAGAGTAAAACCTGATCTCAAAAACACAAAAGGTGGGGAAGGACTGGGGATATACCTGAGTCAATAGAGTGCTTGTCTTATAGTGGGGGCTGATTTGACCCCCAGAATCCACCACAAAATCCAGACACGGTGTCTGCACTTGTAATCACAGCACTGGGGAGAGGGAGACAGGCAGGCCCCTGGAGCTCACTGGCCAGCCCGCCCCACCTATGGCAAACTTCAAGCCAGTGAGAGACCCTGTCTCCCCTGGCTGCCATATACATTCTATGCACATGTATGTGCACATATGTGCACTTGCACACACACATAAAGGAAATCAAGTCTCACCTTCATGTCAATGTATCTGTCGTCCCTCTAGACAACCACGTCTTGGCCACCACAGCTACGGGTCAACCCTCATATCTCCTACCTACCCATTTACACAAATACCTAGAAGACATTCTTTGTGGTTCCTTCCCCTTTGCCCACCATGCCATCTGTTCCTGAATACCAAGGCTTCTGCCTCTAGGACTTCATCCCCACTCCAGCCACAGGCCCAGCCCAACTATGTCATTTGTGTCATCTTCTGCCCAGGAACTGTTCCATCTTTCTACTCATTGACCTGCCTCACTCTGACCTCCCTACTATAATCCATAGGCAGCCAGAGGACCTCTAGGGAGCCATGTCACCCTGGATGTTCCCCTTCTTGTGCTACCAGTCAGGGACAGATATACCACACACACACACACACACACACACACACACACACACACACACACACTACTGTATCTCACCCCTGTGAATCCCATATACCAACCCTAGGAGAGGCAGACCTCCCAACTCCAAGCTCCTTCAGTGTTCTCCTGTTTGGGCACTAGCAGGACAACCTGTGTGGTACTTGGGCTTTAAGGGATCAGTCTCACATCCCCTCAAGAGACCCACTGAGCACAAAGAACAAGCAACAGGAAGCTGGCTGAAAAGTGTGATTTCAGGAGGCCCAAGCCTGAGTGCAAGACCAGAGCCACCCCTCCCAGAACCCTGAGACCAGAGCCCTGAGGCCAGAGTCACTCCAACCAGAGCCCTGAGACCAGAGTCCTGAGACCAGAGTCACACAACCACATCTAGCATGCATGAAGCCCTAGGTTGGATCTCCAGAACCTTATAAACTAGGGCATAGTGGTACATACTTAAAACCTCAGGATTCAGGAGATGGAAGCACAACAAAGATCAGAAGTTTAAGGTCATTCTCAGCTACATAGTGAGTTTGAGGTCAGCCTGGGCTACAAGAGACACTATCTCAAAAAAAAAAAAGAATTGGGCCTGGGCCCAAATTCTACTTCCAGTATTTGTTCCCTGGGCCTCGGTTTCAGCCAATATAAAATGGGCTAATAATATCTGAAGTTGGGTACAAGGGTTAAAATAGTTAATACATACAACAAATTTGGGACATGGGGCTGGAGAGATGGGTCAGCAGCTAAGAGCATTTGCTGTTCCTGCAGAGGACCTGGGGTCGATTCCTGGCACCCACATGGTTGCTCACAACTATTTGTGACTCCAGGGATCCAATGCCTTCCTCTGACCTCTATGGGTATCAGACGAACACATGACACACATGCATATATACATACAAGCAAAACACTCATACATAGAAAGAAAAAGCAAATAAAAAATTAGAACAGGCTTGGCATACAGCATAAATTCTCACTGACTATCATCATTGTTGTCATCATCTGGCATGGTCCATCCATACCTATTTCCTTTCACTTTGACCCTTGATCGCCTCTACAGTTCTCTCTTCCCCCCCACTCCACCCCCATCTCTCTTACACACACACACACACACACACACACACACACACCTACTCATATATTCAGATGCACACAGGTACCACTTGTCCCCACATCAGCTTCCCTACCCTAGTAACATGACTTTTTTGACTTTCAGGGTCTTCTTTAGCTGTGGTCTCAAGGCCCAGGCCTCTACCTCTCTAACCTTTGCTACATTAGAATTCAAAGTCAAGAGACCCACCCCGAAATCCCACCCAACTTTCCTCTTGCATCCGCAGCCAGTTCCTGGTCACACTGTTCAGCAGATGAGAAACTTCCTGGTAGGGAAGGGTAATGAGATGGACAAACATCACCCACAGGCCCCTTGCAATGGGAAAGTCCAGGTGGTCCCAAGAGAAGAAGTCCCTGGCAGCGGGTTCCTTCCATTCTAGGTCCGTGTTGTAGACATCTTTTCCAGTCCTGGACACAGAAGATCCAGCAGATACAAAGCACAGGCAATCTCAGTAGGTAAGATATGTTTGGGTCCTGGGAACTGACTCTTGTCGGATGAGGGGAGCACAGAAGGTTCTCTGTGTCCTTCCCTCAGGAGCAGCAGGAAGGCTTCCCTTGCCTTGCAGCCTTGTAGAAGCTCCCAGGCAAGGTTCGGTCACACCAAGGACTTACTTCATCACACCTACTCAGGCCAACTCTTTCATCACCAGGACTTTACTCAGGGAAGGGAGAATCTGGAGTGAGACAAAACAAAATTGGAATCTGTGGCATCCTGACTGTGATTTCAAGTCTACCACTTGACCTTTCTGGTTTCCTCCAAGAGACAGGAATAGGTACCCAGGGTTGTTGTGGGCAATGACCAGGAAGAGGAGCAATTTGGAAGCAGGAGGATAGGAGATATTTCCCATCACCTTGAGCTGGCCATTTTCTATTTACTTACTCTGTTCCGACATTCATTTTCTGTCTTTCTTGCCTGTGTCCCAGGAGCTTCATCTACGAAGTATGCTACCCTGACCTCTAGCTTCCAGGATCCAGTCCACCATGTGTTGTGCCTACAGGAGAAGGAGGGAGGAAGGAAAACAGAAACTAGGGATACATGTCCTCTTTCTAAGTTTTGGCATTCTGGTCCCAGCTTCCTTCCCATTGACTCTAATGTCCCACTAGGTAAATTAAGGAAGTAACCTTGAGGTATCCCTGTCTTGCCCTCTCCAAAGTCCCTGAATGAGCTTTCTTTGGCTGATCTCAGTATAGCCCCAACCTGGACCCATCAGTGCCTTCCATGCTCCACAACTGTTCCATATTTAAAGATGCTCTGGGATTCCAGCTCGAACCTCTGCCTGCTAAGTCTGTGGATTTGGGTCATCAACAGCGCAAAGGGATGGGAGACTGACAGTGATTTTAGGAAGGCTCTGAATTTGAGTAGTCCCTTCAGTGGGAGAGTCCCGCCCATTGCCCACCTCGGCCAATGCTGCTACAGGCTAAGTGGCAGCCTGACTAGGTGAAGACCCCAGGGCAGCCACTAGGAGACTCAGGCCAGGGGTGCCTTTGTTCCCCACACCTGGAGCGCAGAGCCTGTTTTGCCTGGGAGGTGGAGGCTCTGGTTTAATTAAGGATCATAGCAGAGAATTCTCTCTTGTTATTTTCTGAATAAATTAAGGAAGTAACTTTGAAGCCGTATCATTTTCATCTAATCAGGAACATTCTGAAATTAACATATTGTTTTCCCATTAGAAACCCCATCAGCCCCCAAATCAGATAACCAGGCTGAAGGCTGCCAAGGCCCCTCTGTCCTGGGGCGGGTGCACGCTGTGGGGACAAAGAAGGACTTGCTGATACTGCCACAATCCTTGGTTGAATTCTCGGGATAGCTCCCGGCTGTTAGCAAAGGTCTTAGCCTGAGCCAGGGTTTCGGGTGGGTCCTCCTGCCACCCAAGCAAAAGTAAGGTCCCAGGAATATCTGCAGAGTGACTTGAATTGAACCAACCCTGACTCAGGCAGCCTCTCAGGTCCCAGCATAAAAGAAAGGGAGCCTTGGATCCAGTGCCTGAGAAAACCTTGAAGGCCATCCACACAAGGTAGGGCCAGAGGCTGCCCAGAATTTATGCAATTTCCCACAATACTGACCTCTCACCCCTTCCTTACAAAGCTCTCTGGAAGCTTGAACTGAAGGGTATCAAGCCCACAGCATGCTGGGAGCCCATGGAGTGGAAGATGGGATAATCCTAGAATCAGACCAGACTCCAAAGAGGCTTGCCACTTTCCAAATCCTACTACTTAAGGACCCTCTCCAGTCCCCCATGGCAGTGAGACACTGTGGCTAGCTAGACCCGTGAGAGTATGTACATCACTGTGTGTACTGAGACAGATACAAACAGATTTAAGCCAAGACTGGCTTTGTAGGGGTGCTTGGTGATGAGGTCATACCTCTGTCTGTTATTCCCCCCAGGAGTACTCCTTTATCTGCGGGTATACATCCTAAAACACCCCTACCTCCCCAGTAGATACTTAACTCCATAGCTATTATCTTGTCTCATATATGCTAAGGGATTGTGGGTAGGTAGCATACACAGTGTGTATACACTGAACAAGGAACAATTTACCACCTGGGTGAAGCAGAGCAGGAGAGTAGGCTATTCCATCTCACTACTCAGAATGGCATGCAACATAAAACTCATACACTGTTTATTTCCAGAATTTTCCACTTAATATTTTGAGATCTTGATTAACCATGGCTAGCTAACGCTGAAGAAAATGAAGCCAAGAATAAGGAGACCGCTATATCACCTCTACTCGGACTTTTTACTCTTCTCTTTATCTTCCAGGCCCCCTTCCTGCCTCCCTCCTCTCTCGCCTCTTCTTGCTCTCCTTCTTTCGTGTGTCAACGCTCCAGTCCTTCAAGAAGCCCAAGCCCTTATCCAGAACCCAAGGTGAACCTCTATTCACCCGTGCAGGGCCCTCCCTGCTCTCCCTCTCTCGACGCCAAAGCAAGAGACAGAGATTGCCAGCTGCTATAGAGGGCTCGGAGACTCCCTCTGCTCTCCTGATACTGCCCCAGCCAGGTGTTAGCAACCATCCACAGGCACCGTGAAGAAGGGCAGAAGACAATGACAAGGAGGGTGACAAGGAGGGTCACACACAATAGGGAGTGTGAGCTGAGGCGGTACAGACAGGTAGGGAAAGGTCAGGGATCAGAGCACGGGCCAGCCTGGTGGCCTCGCTGAGTTCACGACCTGCTGCTCTGTGAATGGGCACATCTTCTTTCTCCTTTGTTTCCCGGAGCTCAGCAGGAGGTCAAATGTGGAAAGCCTGGAGAACACAAAACTGAATAAAATACAAAGAAGTGGCACTGTGAGCCACACACTGAAATCCAACAAGGGTCCCCTGGAAGCCCAGAGAGGGACAGGGGCTCTCGAAGACTCTTGAACCCTCAAGGAAGGAAAGCAGCAACAAGGGGTCCTGGAAAGTGGGCTTTAGACATGGGCCCTGTCTGCCCCATTCCCTGCTGGATTTGGGACTCTACTTGAAGCCACGGAGCATGGGAAGGAACAGCATCACAGGAGGGTCCGCGGTGTGCAAAGTTGCCTTCAGAGCTCTGGGCAAAGCTCCTGCCGCAGGCAGGCCTGCCTGCCTGCCTGCCTGCCTGCCTGCCTGCCTGCCTGCCTGTGAGTGTGGGTGTAGGGTGTGGATGGGGGTGGTGGGTGCAGGCAGGGTAGGAGAGGAGGTTAGTGGGGCTATGGGAAGGGCCTGAGTGTGCTTGCTGGTGCAAGTGAGGACAGCCAAGCAAGGGTGGGACAGAGCAGGGACAGCAGGAGCCCCAAGCCAGGAGCTAAGGTCAGCATCTCAGTGACCACCAGCTCATTTTCTGCCCCAGACCCTCAACTGAGACCTTACCCTAGAGTTTTCAAGACCCACACGGTTCCTAGGGGATCCACCCATGTCCACACCAGTTCCACGGTCTAACACTGGGCTTTGACAGCCTATCTCACCACAATGGGAATCTTGGGATAGATGGAAAATGTAGTTACCAAGAGATGTTTTATATATTTGGCTTGGGAAATACTTCCTACAATCTTTTCCGGCTTTTCTGGGTATGATTTCCAAATTGGTATTTGCTAGCATGATGCCAAACACACCGTCGGTGTCCCTATGCTGGCCCATGCTGCTGGGCCTGTTTCTTCCTCATTTTTGCCTCCTGTCCCAAGCTGAGATGGGCCTCCAAGTTCCCTCCATCATCTGAGAGAATCAATGGCCCTTCTTTTCGGCCCATAGGTTTGGCATGTGATTTTAGTTCTAAATAGTTCTCCCTGGCTCCAACTCTACCTCCAAAGTGTCCCGGAACCTAGGGTCCAGGAGAAGGTCTCGGACCACCATGGAGCCCTCAGGGTTTGATAGAAGCTGATTCCAAAGAGGTATCTAGTTCCCTGCCTGAGTCTGGCTGGGACCCAGCCAGCGCGTTGGGACGCCCCTGTTGCGGCTGGCTGAAGCTTGTTGTCTAACCTGGTTGGGGGGGGGTGGCCTGGCAGGGCTCAGGGATCAGGCACACCCTAGGTGAGGTCATGCCTGCCTCACACCTCTGGTATTCTGGCTGATTAGTATCTGCACCGCCAATGCAGGCAAAGGAGATGCCGATACTACAGTGTACCTTCAGGCAGGATGGTGGCTGCAGCTGAGCCTCAATCCCCCCTCACCCCTGCCCCTGCCTGTCTGCTGTTCCCACTAACACCTCCAACCCCTTCTTACCTCCCCACCAGATAGACAGACAGACGAAGAGGGCTGATTGCCCTGTGGGAAAGATGCTCGCTTCTACCATGCCCACCCCTACCAGATTGAACTCTGATCCAGAGTTTGACACCCTGAGAAGGATCCCCAGAAGCCAGGCAAGGAGGAGAGCACCTAGAGGGGACAGGGTCCCAGTGCTCCCCCTGGAAAACATGCCTAGGTCCCCTGCACCCGCACTCTTGACTGTTCCCTTCCACTTTAATCAAACTTTAAGAATTCTGGTAACTACTGTTACAGAGGGTTATACAAGACAACCTGCCACCTGCAGAGAAGGAAACACAGATTCCCATGACCCAGAGGGGCTGATGTATAGCCGCCTGGATTCCTGAGCCTTCAGGGATTGCTAAGTCCCATGTAGATGTGGGGACACACTGGCGAACTTGGGAGAGCCTGACTCTTAGACTCGGGATTCAGGGAGCTAGAGAAGAATCCTGTCACCAGTCCTTTTCCTTAAGAGAGGGCACTGGGGGAGTGAGCGCCATAGAAACCAGAGAGGGGACCAAATGCCAGTGCCCCTGGTTCCTGTTCTCTTAAGTTGCCCCAGCTTTTGCCTGGCCCTGGAGCAGGGAAATCGTGACCCTAAGACAATGGAAAGGCAGGCTCTTGAAGAGAATATGGTCTCTCCTTCCATTCTGCCTCCTTATGCCATTAACACGCACACACATGCATGCACCACTCCCACACATATACCATACACACACACACCACACACGAGACAGAGACAGAGAGACAAAGAGATAGAGACATAGAGACAGAGATCTGCACACCCTTCTCCATCTGCCACAGCTGTGCCAATCATTTTTCCCACAAAGTCTCTGGACAGCAGGCAGCAGGAACAGCAGTACCTGGAACTCCCTCATTAGAAAAGCAAATTGATCTGAACCCATGTAAGGTGAAAGGAGAGAACCAGCTCCACCATCCTCTGACCTCCACACATGCAAAACATCATGCTTGTATGCATCTCATCATCATCACCATAATCACAACAGTAATAGTAACTTCTTTGGGGGGGGGTTGGGAGGTTTCGAGGCTGTCCTGAAACTGGCTCTTGTAGACCAGACTGGTCTCGAACTCACAGAGATTCGCCTGCCTCTGCTTCCTGAGTCCTGGGATTAAAGGTGTGTGCCACCACCACCCGGCAGTAATAACTTCTTATGAAAGAAAAGAAAAAGCAAGTCCTTGGGCCCCTGTCCCGACTGCTCACATCAGGCTGCAGCAGAATCTCCCAGGGGTCAGCGAATATGTCTTCTTGCAAGCTCCATCCGAGAAGCCTAGCTCCAAGGTTCCCAACCTTGATGCACAGGTCACCTGGGAGCCTGGTCAAATGCAAACTAAAGGGTTCAAGTGTGGAGTGTGATGCATGGGACCCAGCCCAGGGGTTGATACTCTCCTGTGTTTCTTAGAAGCCCTGAGGTGGAGGCAATGCAGATAACCCTCAGACCACACTTGGAATAGCAAGGGTTAGTACAGCCTGGGTGCCCTTTAGACTCGCCTAGAGAGCCTTTAAAAACAGGAGTGCCTGAGCCAGATTCACTAATCTGATGGAAGACTGGAGCACAGGAAGGTTTAATGATTTCCCTGGACCACTCTGACACACAATACCATTCTCAGCCATGGGTGAGGCAGGGATGTGCCAAGCACATGTGCTCCATGTACCCACTCACCCTCTAGGATCTTCTTTTTCTCTTCAGGCTTCCTGGTCCCCTCCAACATCTGCTTGCCAGACACAAGCCGTGGCCATACAGAGCAGTGCCCTGACAATAAGACAGACACACCCAACACAGGTGAACACACATGCATACAAGCACAGACAGACCCCCTTTGTATATGCACCCTGAACACACCCCTGGAATAGAGATAGAGAAGCACACACAAGCAAGTCACATGACATACAGATACACACACCTGCCTCAAAGGAGTCAGAGATACCCTGTGTGTCTCTAGGGGGTTGACCCTGAATCTCATTGCAGGGAGACCTATGGACTCTGCAGTGTCTTTCCCTGTCAACTTTGGGGTCACTGGAGCCACAAATCAGTCAGCCCTCTTCCTGCTCACTATCACTGAGTTCTCCTGGCTAGGAGCATTAGCTCTCTGGGGAGCATTAGCATGTGTGGCGTCAATATCTTGGGAGGAATACGATTCAGTATTCATGCCTACCTCCTTGAGCCCAGGTGAGCCCCAGGGAACTGGTCCTTTCTGAGCCTGTAGGTGTCTTCAGTTCCTCAGCCCTTCAAGGTGCCGCTGTGTTGAGGCCTCCTTTGAGTTTAAAATCTTGCACCCCCACCCTGCATCCCAGAGCCCTCCACAGACAGGCCTGATTGATGACTCAAGGGGACTGCGACTGCTGCAGGCCTATTTTATGATGTCATTAGGCAGCTTCGGCAGCGGGAAGGAATCCCTCCTGACATCATAAAGGACTTGATATTTCGCTAATGTTATCTTGGCGGCGTGTCGCCCTGACATTTTCTCTTCGCTGCACTCCCCCCCCAGGACCAGGAGTTGTCTAACTACAGCCTGGAAAAAATGCAAAACAGACAAATGCACCCTCGGGGGACAGCAGGAGAAAGCTAATAGACCATCCCTGGCTCCCCATCCACAGAGGTGCTTTAGGTGGCAAGCATGATGTGCTTATCAAAGGGGACCCAGGCTGCCTTCCCCTCCTGTCTCGGTTCCCTGCTGTTCTGGCTCCACACTCAGCAGCTGGTGGGAGGCGGCGGGGGGGGGGGGCCTGGGACCCTAGAGCCAGCCCTGCCACCCCAGGCTATATCATTTAGCTTTGCCCAGGCTGGGCATCAGTGACCCTATCCGTATTCCCACCTTGATTTTGGTCCAGACAGTTATGAAGATGGGCCCAGGCAAGGCTGAGGGCCATGAAATTCCAGGAAAAGATCTGCAGAAACCAGAAGATAATCCGTCAAGACCCCACTTTGAAACTCGGGGCTGCTAGTTCACCCAGATGCGGAAAGTCATCATGTTGTCTCAGCCTGAAGCTCACTGGCTTCAGTAGCAAGGGACCATTTTCAGATTCCCAGAGTGGCTTGGGTGGCTCAGGGCTGGCTGATGGAGAAAGATCCCGTAACCCTGGGTACCTCTCAGATCACTTTCCAAGAAGCCCTGGGAAGTCCTTGACCACCCAGGCAGAAGCATCTCCCTACAATCCTGACCCCAGAGTCCTGAGAGATGAATTTACAACTCCCCTCCTGCACAGCAGCCAAGCTTTCTCCCTCCCCAACAATGCAACTCTCACCCTCTTGGGGTGTCCCCCAAGGGCTCCTAGCTCTACCTCCTGAGTGCTGCCATTACAAGTCTGCCCCACCCACCCAGTTTATACAGCACTGGGAACCAAACCCAGGGCTTCATGTGAGCTAGGCAAGTGATCTACTAACAGGGACACATCCTCAGCTCCCATTTATCTTTTTTTTTTTTTGAGAAAGAATTTTGCTTATGTAGCCCAGGCTGGCTCCAAACTTGTCATCCTCCTGCCTAAGTTTCTGGATGCTATGATTATAGGTGTGTGTCACCACACCTGGCTTCAAACAGTGTTCTTATGATGTATGCACTTTTATTTTCTGTGTATGAGTGCTTTGCCTGAATGTGTATATGTGTACCATGGGCACGCTTGGTGCCTGCAGAGGCTAGAAAAGTATGTCTAATCCCCTGGATCTGGAGTTACAGATGGTTGTCAACACACTGAGGGTACTGGGAACCAAACCTAGGTCCTCTCCAAGAGCAGCCAGCGCTCTTAACCTCTGAACCACATCCCCTGCCCTCAAACAGTACTTTTAGATACATAAAACAAGACACAGCACTCCAAAGGCAACTCATTGTGCTGAAATGAAGTTCTAAACAGGGGCCTCTGGTTCACATGGCCAGTTTGACTCCTTGTGTAGACAAACACTCCAATCTGCAAAGGTGGGGTAGCAGCGCTGCGATCTTCCTCTGCATGCTTGGAGAATAGGGTGGGGAAGTTCAGAGTGAGCCTCTGCTATAGGGAGTGTGAGTCCAGCCTGGACTACATGAAACCCTACCACCACACCACCAACCCCCATTCAAAAAAAAGGAACTGTTTGAGAAGGATCCATAGGGTTTACCAGACTGCTTAGGAAGAAAAGAAAGAAAGGAAGAAAGAAAGGATGGAAGGAAGGAAGGAAGGGAGGGAGGGAGGGAGGGAGGGAGGGAGGGAGGGAGGGAGGGAGGGAGGGAGGAAGGAAGGAAGGAAGGAAGGAAGGAAGGAAGGAAGGAAAGAAGGGAGGGAGGAGTCCACACAATAACTATAATAAATAGCAATAATTAAGCTTGTTCTAGAACCCCAAACTATGCTTAGCCACAAACAGGTTGGGTTTTAGATCAGTATAAGTAACTCCAGTTGTAAAGCATCCTTGCTCCCCTTGGAACAAATAACTTGGAAAGTGGAGATGGGCAAGACCATCTTTCCCGGGTTCCTCCAAGAACTGTTCTGAGGCCCCAACTGTACCACACTGCTTCTTTGCCCTGAAATGGCTAGACCCCACCCCAAGTCCAGGTACTGACGGCTCACACAGAGGTGCCTCTCTGAATGGCACTGCTCTAAGCAGTGGAGAGACAGCAAACACAGGGCAGCCCCAGATCTGCTTCAGGAAGTCTTTTCCAGGTAGAGCACAAACAGCAGCCATGCCTACTGCCCCAGGAGCTTCCCCAGGAGCTCTTCAGTCAGCTGCCAGCCCCTGTGCCTGGCTGACTCCCTACCTCCGTCTGAATTCATTCCAGGTCTGGATTCTTTCTCCTGTGGACAGGCCTGGCTGAGTGGGAGTCTTCAGGAAGAATCACCTCGGCCAAGAATGGGGCAGAGAACTAGGAGAGTACAACAGGAATCAAGTCCTCTGCAAGAGCAGAAAATGTGCGTGCTCTCTCTCTCTCTCTCTCTCTCTCTCTCTCTCTCTCTCTCTCTCTCTCTCTCTCTCTCTCTCTCTCTCTCAGTCACGACAAGGTTTCTTTGTATAACATGCCTGACTGTCCTGGAACTCACTCTGTAGACCAGGCTGGCCTCGAACTCACAGAGACCCATCTGCCTCTGCCTCCTGAGTGCTGGGATTAAAGGTGTGCATTGCTATGCACACCTCTCCAGCCCTCCAGATAGTGTTCATCAATGTTAAATATTTTTCTTTAACTTTTAATATCCAACTTTCAATCAATATTTTTCTTTTGACTCCTATTAAAGTTACTAGCAAATGGCCAGGCATGGTAGCCCATACCTTTATTTCCAGCACTTGAGAGACAGAGGCAAGAGGACCTCCATGAGTTCAAGGCCAGCCTGGTCTACATAGTGAGTTTCAGGCCAGCCAATACATAGTGACACCCTATCTCAAAAATAATAAACATAAATAAAATCGCAAACAAAGGGAGAGGATGGCGAGGAGAAGGAAGATCCAAGGGCATCTGAAAAGTGTGAGGTGCCTCATTTTTTACCAAACCATCTTCCAGCCAGGGAACTGTGGGGCAGGCAAGGTTGCTCTGACCCAGGCCCTCAAAGATTAGCAAAAATCATTTGGAAGGCAACTGGAGAGACGGCTCAGTGGTTAAGAACCCTGGCTGCTCTTTAGAGGACCTGGGTTTGATTCCCAGCACCCACATGGCAGCTCACAACCATCTGTAACCACAGTTCTAGGGGATCCAACATCCTCTTCTGGCCTTCACAGGCACATGGTACAAGGTATACATGCAAGCAAAACACCCAAACACAAGATATTAAAATAAAGCTTATACTTTTTAATATTAAAAATGACAACACATTCACAGCCAGCCTGGAAATCCCACTAGGAGCACCTGGCTTTTGATCCCCACCAGGAAGAATACAATCCCATCCCAGAAAAGGCCCAGAGATGATGGCAGAATGTGCCATGGATAAGAGGGCCAGCAGTGGAGCTGTGGTAAGGATACCGACAAGTCTCAGTCAGTCTATCTGCCAGCAGGGCCACCTTCCACCAGCACCCTGGGAAGGTTGGCTGGGACCACACCCCAGAGAAGGAGGGCAAGTCAGAGCCTCTTCGCCTCAGTCACCAGCTGAGGTGATTATTAAATACAGCTACAGCTGAGCATGGCGGCACATCCCAGCACTTGTAAGACTCAGGCAGGGAGATCATGAGTTCCAGGCTAGTCTAAGCTGAATAGTAAGACCCTGTCTCAAATTAAAAGGGTGGGGGAGGTGAAGAGATATCTCGGTGGTTAAAAGCACTTACTGCTCTTCCAGAGGACCCCAGTTCAGCTCCTAGCACCCACGCTGAGCAGCTCACAACTACCTATAATGCAGGCCTAGGGGCCTCCATAACCTCTACTAGACTCTATAGGCGCCCATACTTATGAATATACCTGCCCACAAACACACACACATATACACATACTTTAAAAAATGGTTGCAAAGAAAAGGACAGGACAGGCGGGAAATAATAAATACAGTGAGGAAGACAGTGACTTTAATTTAATATCCCAGAAGCCTGTGTGGCCCTGGAGACAGTACATGGGAGTGAAACTTCAACAGTGGCCTGCATGGCAGCCCAAGGCCCAGTCTCTTCAAGAGTTTAGAGAAGGGAAGGAAAAAAGGAAGAAAATGGGGCAGGGGTCATGGAAGAAGGAACAGATAAAGAACATGGAATGAGATCAGGAAAGAGGGGGGATGAATAAGCACCAAAGGGCTGGCAGGTCCTACTCCAAGAGTCCCAAGCCCTTCTCAGCATAGCAAAGATCATGGGGGCCCAGGAGGCCTCAGCTCAAGGCAAGGATGAGAACACGGGAAAGAACCCATCCAGCATTCACACACAAAAGATGTACCCACATATAAGCCTGGGAACAAGGGCGCACTGGCACACACACAAGCATGGCCAGTCTTACAGATGTGTGCAGGAGAGAGGGCTCTGACACTGATGTGCAGTAACACAGGCACAGATGTATGCCAACACAAGGGCTACGTCCGCAGATGCTGACAGGTATCCGTGCTTGTGCTACAGACACTCTTCCACAGGCAGGGTGCCTGGAGAAATCGCACTCACAAACACAGGAAGAAGCCTAGACGTCTGTCCACACACATACCAGAGACCCTCACGTGAGTCTTTTACACTTGGACATATGAGGCTAAAAGTGGAGCTCAGAGGAAGAAGGATTCCTTAGCTTGCACAAGGCCCTGGGTCCTGTCCCCAGCACAGCAAAGACAAACAAAACAGACATGTGGGCTCACCCTCTCGCACACCTCAACATAGGCATGTATATCACATGTATTCCTGAAATGATACGAACACACACCTGTGTGAGAGCACCCCCACCCAGACATGTCCTCTGACATACATGTTCACAGCACACGCTCAGAGGCACTGGCACATCCCGACACTGCCTGTAACACATTGCTGGGCTCTTTTCTGAAGCGTGGTCTGGCTTTCACCATCCCTGAAGAGAAGACACTCACCTCAAGCCAGGTCACCTCTTGGCTCACTCTTGCT